AGCTCAATTTGACCTCCAGTTTCCACTGATGAACCCAGGGTCGTAACACCCGATTTTTGTTGCCTGGTCGTAGAATTCAATTAATCCTGTGAGGCAGGACTTGCCATCCCTGAACCCATGTTGATGCTGTGTTACAAAGTTCTTTCGCTCCAGATGTTCCACTAGCTTTTTTCGCACAATCTTCTCCATCAGCTTGCATGGTATGCAAATTAGGGACACTGGCCTGTAGTTCAGTGCCTCCTGTCTATCCCCCTTCTTGTATATCGGGACTACGTTAGCTGCTTTCCAAATTCTTGGCAGTTCTCCTGTTGCCAGTGATTTGTTGTACACTGTGGAGAGTGGCAGGCACACTGCATCTGCTCCTTCCCTTAGTATCCATGGGGAGATTCCATCTGGGCCTATAGCCTTTGTCACATCCAACTCTAGTAAAAGCTTCCATACTTCTCCACCAGTAATCTCAAACTCTTCTAGTGGTTCCTGGTTAACTATTCCCTCTTTTTATCTCTGGAACTTCCCCTTGCTGTAAAGTGAAGACCTGGAGTTTCTTATTCAGTTTCTCGCACACTTGTCATTTGTGGTGAATCCGTCTGCCCCTATCCTTAATTTTATTACCTGTTTCTTTTCTGTTGTTTTTCTCCTGATGTGGTTGTGCAGCAATTTAGGTTGAGTCTTTGCCTTGCTTGTGATGTCATTTTCGTATTGTCTTTCTGCCTCTCTTCTCAACCTGACATATTAATTCCTTACACTCTAGTATCTTTCTCTGTTCTCAATTGTCCTGTTATTTCTATAGTTTCTCCATGCTCTTCTACTTTGCTGCTTAGCTAGCCTACATCTCTGATTAAACCATGAGTTTTTCATCCTCATTTCATTGTTTTCCAAAACCTGTCTGCTGCCTCCTTGCACTTCTGCATGATGTAGTCCATCATGTCTTGGACCGTCTTTCCCCTGAGCTCTATTTCTCATGTTATCTGTTAGGATTTTTCTTATCTCCTCATAGTTTCCCTTTCAGAATGCCAGCCTTTTGTTTTCAATACCCCTCCTCGAGTTCAATACTCCTTCTTCAATCAGATACTCAAACACCAGTACACTGTGGTCGCTCATTCCTACCGGGGCCTCGAAACCAATTTTCCTTATATCGAAGTCGTTAAGAGTGAAGACTAGGTCGAGTCTCGCTGGTTCATCGTTTCATTGTAATTACCTAAGTGTAATTAATTACCTAAGTGTAGTTACAGGATGAGAGCTATGCTTGTGGTGTCCCGTCTACCCAGCACTCTTAGTGTGTGCTAGACAGTAAAACTTACACACACACACACACACACACACACGTGTGTGTACTCACCTAGTTGTGCTTGTGGGGGTTGAGCTCTGGCTCTTTGGTCCTGCCTCTCAACCGTCAATCAACAGGTCTACAGGTTCCTGAGCCTATTGAGCTCTATCATATCTACACTTGAAACTGTGTATGGAGTCAGCCTCCACCACATTACTTCCTAATGCATTCCATTTGTCAACCACTCTGACACTAAAAAAGTTCTTTCTAATATCTCAGTGGCTCATTTGGACACTCAGTTTCCACCTGTGTCCCCTAGTGTGTGTGCCCCTTGTGTTAAATAACCTGTCTTTATCAACCCTGTCGATTCCCTTGAGAATCTTGAATGTGGTGATCATGTCCCCCCTAACTCTTCTGTCTTCCAACGAAGTGAGGTTTAATTCCCATAGTCTCTCCTCGTAGCTCATACCTCTCAGCTCCGGTACTAGTCTGGTGGCAAACCTTTGAACCTTTTCCAGTTTAGTCTTATGCTTGACTAGATATGGACTCCATGTATGTGTGTGTGTGTGTGTAATTACCTAAGTGTAGTTACAGGATGAGAGCTACGCTCGTGTTGTCCCGTCTTCCCAGCACTCTTTGTCATGTAACGCTTTGAAACTACTGACAGTCTTGGCCTCCACCACCTTCTCACTTAACTTGTTCCAACCGTCTACCACTCTATTTGCGAAGGTGAATTTTCTTATATTTCTTCGGCATCTGTGTTTAGCTAGTTTAAATCTATGGCCTCTTGTTCTTGAAGTTCCAGGTCTCGGGAAATCTTCCCTGTCGATTTTATCAATTCCTCTTACTATTTTGTATGTAGTGATCATATCACCTCTTTTTCTTCTGTCTTCTAGTTTTGGCATATTTAATGCTTTTAACCTCTCCTCGTAGCTCTTGCCCTTCAGTTCTGGGAGCCACTTAGTAGCATGTCTTTGCACCTTTTCCAGTTTGTTGATGTGCTTCTTAAGATATGGGCACCACACAACAGCTGCATATTCTAGCTTTGGCCTAACAAAAGTCATGAACAATTTCTTTAGTATATCGCCATCCATGTATTTAAAAGCAATTCTGAAGTTAGAAAGCATAGCATAGGCTCCTTGCACAGTATTCTTTATGTGGTCCTCAGGTGATAGTTTTCTATCTAGAACCACCCCTAAATCTCTTTCTTTATCAGAATTCTTTAAAGATTTCTCACATAATATATAGGTTGTGTGGGGTCTATGTTCTCCTATTCCACAGTCCATAACATGACATTTATTAACATTAAATTCCATTTGCCAAGTGGTGCTCCATATACTTATTTTGTCCAGGTCTTCTTGAAGGGCATGACAATCATCTAAATTTCTTATCCTTCCTATTATCTTAGCATCATCAGCAAACATGTTCATATAATTCTGTATACCAACTGGTAGATCATTTATGTAGACAATAAACATCACTGGTGCAAGAACTGAACCCTGTGGTACTCCACTTGTGACATTTCTCCATTCAGATACATTGCCTCTGATTACTGCCCTCATTTTTCTATCAGTCAGAAAATTTTTCATCCATGATAGAAGCTTACCTGTCACCCCTCCAATATTTTCCAGTTTCCAGAACAACCTCTTATGTGGAACTCTGTCGAAAGCCTTTTTTAGGTCCAGATAGATGCAGTCAACCCAACCATCTCTTTCCTGTAATATCTCTATGGCTCGATCATAGAAACCGAGTAAATTCGATACACAGGATCTTCCAAATCGAAAACCATACTGTCTGTCTGATATTATATAATTTCTCTCCAGGTGTTCTACCCATTTAGTTTTGATTAGTTTTTCCAATACTTTCACTATTACACTTGTCAATGATACAGGTCTATAATTGAGGGGGTCTTCCCTGCTGCCACTTTTGTAGATTGGAACTATGTTAGCCTGTTTCCACCCGTCTGCTACGATTCCTGTACACAGGGATGCCTGAAAGATCAGGTGAAGTGGAATGCTGAGCTCAGATGCACATTCTCTCAGAACCCATGGTGAAACGCCATCTGGGCCAGCTGCTTTGTTCTTACCGAGCTCCTTGAGCATTTTTTCCACTTCGTCTCTAGACACCTCTATGTGTTCTATGTTGTTCTCTGGAATTCTTATTGTATCTGGTTCCCTAAAGATTTCATTTTGTACAAACACACTTTGGAACTTTTCGTTTAGTGTTTCACACATTTCCTTTTCATCTTCCGTGAATCTATTTCCCATTTTCAACCTCTGAATATTATCCTTTACCTGCAATTTGTTGTTTATGAATTTATAGAATAGACCTGGTTCTGTTTTACATTTGTCCGCAATCCCTTTTTCAAAATTTCTTTCTGCCTCTCTCCTCACTGCCGTGTAGTTGTTTCTCGCATCTTTGTATCGCTGGTATGTTTGGGGGTTCGGCCTCTTCCTGTATTGATTCCATTTTTGTGTCTTTCGGTCTCTAGCCCTCTCGCAATTTCTATTGAACCAATCCTGTTTCCTAGTTCTGCATCTCTGTTTTGGTATAAATTTTTTTGTGCCTTTATCATATATTTCACAAAACTTGCCATACATCTCATTCACTTCCTTGCCTAGCATCAAGTCTGTCCAATTATACTCACTAAAAAAATTTATAAGGTCACCATAATGTCCTCTCCTGAAGTCTGGTTTTTCAACTGCTTCAACCTCCTTATTTTCTTCCAGCTTATAACGCATTGCATACTTTATGTGTGTGTGTGTACACATGTCTCATCAAAGTATAGTATGTATGTGAATGCATTAAATTCCCTTTTTGACTTCTGACACAGCCTGTTGTCATGTCAATACTGTACATTCTAACTTACAAAAGATCACCAAACTTATTGAAACAATTGACATTTGATTTCTTCAATCTTGATTGTTTTGTTTATAAGACACTGGGCTTATGATCGGGTAAATCCTTTGACTTTGCCAAAGGACATATCTTCTTCAGCTTCAGATCTTAACCATGCATTGCCTTTAATTTGCCTTTAATTTTAATAAGAATTATTCCAGTACAAATTATTAGTATTACTTTTTAGATGACAATAGCCTATAGTAGTTAGTATAGAGGCATGACACTGTTTCATCCGTTATAAATGATGATAGCTGCCATTTGTTAGTGAAGATTCGTGATGCTACACTAGTTGTTATTTAACACTGAACTTGCGACTGTTATCACCATTGTCGCCTCACCTGTGAACCAAAAAACAAAAAAAAATTAGTTATTGTATGATAAATTTGCATGCAAAAAGTAAAGTCCAACAAACAAATAAATCTGGTTTTGTGCACCAAATCCTTATCTTGACCCCTCCGAAGTATATATATATATATATATATGGGCATAATGGCTTGGCGCTTTTCCCTGATAATTCCAAATTCCATTGGTTTTGTGCTTTGCTCATGGTAACTGTCAGTTTGTCGTGTTGACCAGATGGGTAGTTTGCTGAAGGTGCTGTAGGGAGGGGGGGGATGAGGACTGTCATGTGTAATTTGGATAGGTTTTATGTTTGTTGCTTCACTTATTCCTTTACACAATGTATTGTTTGTATTTCAGATATGTCAGTGTTCTTCAAAGTAAGAAAGGATTAAACTTCATGGAAATTTCTTTTGCAATATTTAGCATAATTGCATATGTTATGGATACAGAATGTTACATTTTCTAATTTATCCTCATCATTTTTGTACAGCCAAACACCTTCAAAAACCCAGTATACGACAGCCTGTACAGCGAAGAAGCTGCGACATCGATCACACAGGAGGAGAAGACTGGTTTGCTACAGTCGGACCCTCTGGGCGCCCTAGACACAAGTCGGTCCACTGGGTCGAAGTCTTAACGCCGGCTATTCCTCCTAATCACCATCATCCACAAAATCATAACACAACTACGTACTTGGACATATAAGTGTAAAAGTACTTCAGAGTTTTCTGAAAAAAGTTTCTGAAAGTGGAGTGGCCAAATGGAGAAGATACTCTACTACAAAACCTGAAAATCGCAAATGATAGTCTTGGCTACCTGCAATACTTACAAAAGTTATGTCTCGGTTCATTCCTTCACAGGAAATGACTAATGCATAGAATCTTCCTCAGACAATTCAGCCATTGACCATCTTTACACCTTAAGATGCTAAAATAAAACTGCACTAATATTAGAGTTTTTGCAACAATTTAATATGGTGGGTTGGCTGTTGCTAAAACAGAGCAATTGCCTTTTGTGCCACCATAAATCTGGAATGTATCGGAAAGAATGTGGGTTACCTCATCAAGCGCGCACAAACTGGAAAAATGGAATAGCAGTAGTAAAGGTAATTTTAACCGCTACACTGCACCAGTCGCTATCTGCGATTTCCCCTGCACTCCAATTGCCATTTTCAATTTATTCCCATTTGATTTGTTGACTATTTTAGTCATGCACACTCCAGTGTAGTACAGTACTTTGTAATAGCTGCACAGTTTAGGGGTTAAAGAGAAAAAAAAGAGGTGCTTTTTGTTTATTGGATAATATGAAGTGCTATTTAAGAGCTTGGCCACCTTGAGTAGTGGTGCAGAGCTCATCTGGCCACAATCATGATCGGTGAAAGAGACGGCGGCCTTTGTACGTTACCACAGCAGTGCTTCCATGGATGACTAAAGCTTGCCACTCTATTATAGAACTAGTTACATTACTTACTCCTTTTATAACAATTACCATCCACTATATATATATATATATATATATATATATATATATATATATATATATATATATATATATATATATATATATATATATATATAAAATTATATTAATAATATAGTATATACATAGGTGTGTGTGTGTGATGAGTGATTCCTGCCGAAATGTTAGATCTGTAATTAACATAGCTTTCGGAAATTTTTTGTGTAAAGTCATCTTCAGTGATTTGTATGTTAATCTATAATTTTTCTTTGTGTAATAAATACTGTATGTTTAAGTTAAATATAATCAATTTTGGTTAATGCCACTTTTAGAGATTGTATAGTGACTAATTATGGCTCTTTTGAAGGTGTCTAGGAAAAGTCTGTTAGTCTCCCCAATAAAATTGTTACAGAATCCTAGGAGGAGCAGAGGTGCACATGATTCATAGTGGGAATATTGTAATGTTTTGCGTGGCATTTGTGAGAAGATGGAGAATGTGGGCGGAATCACTGGACGTCACCACAAAGCCATATTATGGCTCTTGACGTTACAGGCGCCGTAATCAAGTATTCCATCTTAAATATGTTCTTGGATGCTGGTTTTTATTTTTCACTTATTTATTTTGTATACAAATTAGTGTAGGGAGTTACTTGCCGTAACATATTTTAGTAAAACTATTATTTTATAAATTTTCAGAACATTTCTTCTTGTTTATGGTGCTTTGTTTAGTGTGCATCAGTCCAAATTTTTCCACTTGCAAGCTGCCAGTGATGCCCAAGTGATTTGTATAAATTTTACTTATAACTTTGATAAAGTTAAGCATTGTCCTTATGGTAAATAAGTTTTGGCACATGATTTTGACACCTCCCCCCCCCCCCAAAAAAAAAAAAACACATCTATGAGGAAATATTGAAGCCATATCACGATCACTGGCGTGTATGTCTGAGGAGTTCAAGGATATGGTTCAATCTCTTCATACAGCTTCAGTATTTTCTGTTACTCATTTGACATTTTTTTTAAACAGTATTTAAGATAAAAGTTACAAAAATTTAGCTAAAATTTGATGACCCGCATTGATTAATATTCTTGGTGTTTGAGATGCCATTCCCAACATAACTAGTTACTGAAATTGGTAAATTAATGTATTGTTTAGAACACATCGGTAAATTTAGTTATTTTCTCGAATCATTTTAATGGCAAAGTTTTTATACTGTAATTATTATAGGAGTCAAGAAACCCACTAATTATCTAACCCAAAGGTCGTTAGGGCACTGATCCTCGGAACCCAATTGTCGTTAGGGCATTGATCCTCGGAACCCAAGGGTCGTTAGCACATTGATCCTTGGAACCACTGCATGCCCCTCAAGGTAACAAAGCAAACCACCTCATGATATGGTAATGTACTAAATGTAATGACATTGTTGTAGTCACAAAGGGCTGTGTTTCCACAACTTCAATAATTTGCTGCTCAACCTGCTATTCACTTTTAATGTACTGTATACTTCATACACTATCTAATTTACTTTAAATAATCAGCGTTTAAAGATTTATATTTTAAGGAGGCTAAGAGACCTTTTGGGCTGTATAAGAGAGCTGTAGTGTGTTCTATGCAAGGAAAGCGTATATCAAAACAACACGCATTTGACTGATGTACAAAAGTATTTAGTGTTTACAAATTTCCAACGGTTGGATTCCTGAAAAAAAGTACCAAACCAACGGATTGCAATGATTGTGGGACTGCAGGCTTCTCCAAGCAATATCCTTTTTATTAAAGGTATTTCAAGACAAGCCTGGCCCCAAGACTGTCTTTGGGAGTAGAATAACTCTGAACCAACTCCACGTAACTCCGGGAAAAATAAACTGAAGCTTACACATGGGAAGAAAGACTGGAGTCTACTGTGAGATACATGGTAAAGAGATTGGTTCATAGCCATTAATCCACACACACTGTTTCAAATGTAACGTTTATAAAGTTAATACTGCTTCTCTTAGTGAACACATTAAGCATCACTAATGGATTAATAACTTGGCATTTCAAACTTGCATAGTTACTGCATATTTTAAACACTGCAGTTATAAAATGTGTATACTAAAGCATGTACATAGTCTATCTGTTCAGGGAATTTATGACAATGACTCGCTCTCCACCATTGGATGACTGCTGAAGTAGGAGGAAGACTTTCAAATTCTGTGTGATTTCCAAACTTTCAGTTTGGAACTCTCAGCAAATGAAAAATAGTACATGATGAAATGGGCAGGACTGGTACAAAATGTAGGTCTCAGAGTTTTAAATTAAGCAGAAATTAAACTTAGTGTGAATGTACATAGTTGCACAATGAAATCATGAGAATATGATGTATCTATGAGAAAATATTAGGGCCATACAATGGAATCAAACCCACATCCCAAGGAAGTCTTGAGATATTTTTAATCTCATTATATGACCTTAATATTTTCTTCATGTACATATTTGTTTTCCCCCCTGGTAGTACGATGTAAATCGGTAGGGCAATTCAATAAATACTGGCAAGCAGGGCCGAGCCATCTACGTCAAGCTAAGAAGTCAGTAGGTCAATAATACTCGTGAGCAGGGCTGAGCCATCTACTTCAACCTAAGTTTGGTTTTCAACTGATAATGAACATTATTATTATTTACCAACACAACTAACTTTGTAGTTGATTTGTAGGTCTGTTTTTTTGCTCTCCCTACGTCTTTCTCCGAGAAGCCATTACACTACATCATCATTGACCAGAATGTGCCATATTACAAAATGTGATATTAATGATTCAAATCTCAGTATGTATTTTATATATAAATCATTAAGGAAGTAGAAAATTCAATGTTATATCGGCTACCGCTACATCCCTTCAAGTATCTTGTACTCTTCATGAATATAAAAATGATTCAAATATTTAATAATAATTGTGAGACAGTACCCTACTTGCAGTATTAGACTCATTTGTGCCTGATTTATATAAAATTCTTATCTGTAGAAGTGGTGTCTTGAAATGAATGTTCAACCTAGCTTCTCCAGCACAAATTCTGTACAATACATGCCTAAACTGTGTTGAAGCATGTGGAACTGGCATCTTCAGCTTAAATTTGCCACTAATGCACCCCCTTTAAATTTATTAGTAATATTACATTTGGTGAATTATATGGAAATTTTTAGTATAAACAATACAATTGACATAACGTGATTAAAGAAAACTCGCATGTTACACGCGTACATTTTCAGCACCGATGTCTCGTAATACTGTAAACATTAACATAATGTGGTAAAAGGAAACACAACATTATATGCATGCATTTTTCATCATTGAGGTCTCTTGATACATATTAATATACAGTAACGTAACGACAGGAGACAAACACATTAAACATGTGCATTTTCACCACAGAGGTCTCGTGATACACATTAATATAACTGCTTACTATAGTTCTAGTAAATAACCTAGAACTTTACTTTGTTGATGTATTTTTCATCAGGTAATATGAAAATATTTACAATATGTACATCATTTTCTATATACACTACCATATTATGTATAGCTAAACTTTGTGTAATATATACATTGTAATGCAGAAAATAAATCACAGTAACATGGCTGAAAATTAATAAACGAACCCCCACATGCAAAGACAATGATAAGGTTTGAGCCCATTCTGGATACTTCTCAAGTCGTGTCGACTTCAGAAGGGTCCAACATGGACCAAAATGCTGGAACTTTCCATACGTATGGGTTGGGTCATATATTGCAATGTTTACTAAATACTTACACCGTCTCTTGGAAGTGTACGTAATAGGTACACAAGGCTCTTGGAAGTGTACGTAATAGGTACACAAGGCTCTTGGAAGTGTACGTAATAGGTACACAAGGCTCTTGGAAGTGTACGTAATAGGTACACAAGGCTCTTGGAAGTGTACGTAATAGGTACACAAGGCTCTTGGAAGTGTACGTAATAGGTACACAAGGCTCTTGGAAGTGTACGTAATAGGTACACAAGGCTCTTGGAAGTGTACGTAATAGGTACACAAGGCTCTTGGAAGTGTACGTAATAGGTACACAAGGCTCTTGGAAGTGTACGTAATAGGTACACAAGGCTCTTGGAAGTGTACGTAATAGGTACACAAGGCTCTTGGAAGTGTACGTAATAGGTACACAAGGCTCTTGGAAGTGTACGTAATAGGTACACAAGGCTCTTGGAAGTGTACGTAATAGGTACACAAGGCTCTTGGAAGTGTACGTAATAGGTACACAAGGCTCTTGGAAGTGTACGTAATAGGTACACAAGGCTCTTGGAAGTGTACGTAATAGGTACACAAGGCTCTTGGAAGTGTACGTAATAGGTACACAAGGCTCTTGGAAGTGTACGTAATAGGTACACAAGGCTCTTGGAAGTGTACGTAATAGGTACACAAGGCTCTTGGAAGTGTACGTAATAGGTACACAAGGCTCTTGGAAGTGTACGTAATAGGTACACAAGGCTCTTGGAAGTGTACGTAATAGGTACACAAGGCTCTTGGAAGTGTACGTAACAGGTACACAAGGCTCTTGGAAGTGTAAAGGTAAATCAGGTAATAATGCTAAGTAATGTTCAAGAGATACAAATACCATGTATTAATGATGCCAACAATATCGATAACATAGCATTTCCTTTATGGTAAGGAAATACCGTAAGGTATTTCTAAGGTAAGGTAAGGAATACCTTAGCTTTGATTGAGTTGGTCTTCAATTATTGCTGTAGGATGATGTAAGGTGGCAATGACCCACCATAGCAGGGCAACATAATTTAGCCAAGACTAAGACCTTGCATGATTATCTTATTTTAATGGTGTACAAATTTAATTGCTACAGTTAACTTTTTTTGCTTAACTCATATTCTCATTATATAAAGCCATGCTATGTAGCTAATCATTATAAGCAGTGCATTATAAATTTTAGATGATGAAGTATGTTTTTTTGTTTTGATGTATCGGTAGGAGAAAAATATATCTCTTGGTTTTTCAATGTTGATAAAAATAGTTTTCATGAGTATTTCGAGATTGTCGCAGCAACGGGACATGAACGTCTTCAGTTCTGCACAATGAAATCACGAAAACTTGATGTATCTATGAGAAAATATTGAAAATATATATAATGGGATCAAACCCATCCCTAAAATGGTGAAACACATGCACTGCACTAATGGTCACCAGTGCGTGTGCTGCGAGAGTCCAGGGATGCTCTTTGGACCCAATCATACTTTTTCAATATTTTTATCTAGTTCTTGTACTGCATCTTGTTTTCAATTAATGCTATTGTCTCTTCTTAGAATGTTGAGATATATTTGATTCATATATACTTAAACACAAGTTTATGATTTTGTATGAATAATGAGTTAAATTATTACTACTGTACGTATTTATATTCATAATAGCTCTACCAAACTCTTAAATTCTGTGCAGAGCAGTTTTTTAATCCCCGGTTAGTTACCTGGGCATGAGAGTAAGAATCTTTTTAAGACAAATATTTTGTTAGAGGAAGCCTATGCAGGAATAATTGCCCAATGAAACAAAAGTGCCAAAATGTGGCTTCCTGCCATGGTACAGCTGTGTTATGTAATATTGGGAGTCATGAACCGGTCTTTCTGTATTACCACACTGTATGTGACGGCTAATGTTCAAAGTCTCCGTGTGGGGATAACACGCAGACGCCACATAAACTGATGCATATCTGCTTTGCTCACTGGATGGCAATTTGTACATCAATGTTTAATTTTGTATTGTAATATTCCCCTGGTGTCATCTTGAAGGTAATTAAGGTATTATTATGTAGTGCAAATTATACAACAAATGATATTGCATGTGAGTATTGTAATAAGAATGACATTTCTCTGGATGTTAACATGAAATTATTTAAACTTGTAATTATTTTAGTCACAAACCAATTTACTTACACAAAAACTGTATGCTTGAATTGAAGAATCTTTGAAGAAGAGGCAATTACAGTTGAATCAATACAAAATCAAATTGCTTTTTATGCAAAGTTTTATCTTCATATTTTTGTACATATGAGAACCACAGTAGTAAATTTATAAAATGGCATTTTATTTCTCCTGTGTTATTGGAAATCATACTTGATTCTGTTACCAACGTTGACCAAACCACAAACTAGAAAGTGAATAGATGAAGACGTCTCGGTCCATCCTGGACCGTTATCAAGTCGAATATGACCAGGTCCAGGACAGACCGAAACGTCGTCGTCTCTTCACTTTCTAGTGTGTGATTTGGTCAACATTTTTTAGCCACGTTATTGTGACTCCTCATCTGCCTCTGTTACCAACTGTTGGTAGTAATTACCAAGTTCTTGTTTTGAAGGTTATCTTCAGATGATTTTGGGGCTTGGCATCCCTGCAGCCCGGTCCTCGACCAGGCCTCCTTTTTTTTTTTTGTTTGTTAATAATTGCCCAATGATAAAACTGTGTCAAAATGTAGCTTCTTGCCATGGAAGGTTGGCATGGCAGGAGGTTGCCACAACTGGTTGAGCATGGCAGAAGGTTGCCACAACTGGTCGAGCATGGCAGAAGGTTGCCACAACTGGTCGAGCATGGCAGAAGGTTGCCACAACTGGTCGAGCATGGCAGAAGGTTGCCACAACTGGTCGAGCATGGCAGAAGGTTGCCACTACTGGTCGAGCATGGCAGAAGGTTGCCACTACTGGTTGAGCATGGCAAAAGGTTGCCAAAGCCAGTAGAGCATGGCAGAAGGTTGCCACTACTGGTTGAGCATGGCAGAAAGTTGCCACTACTGGTAGAGCATGGCAGAAAGTTGCCACTACTGGTTGAGCATGGCAGAACGTTGCCACAATCGGTAGAGCATGGCAGAAGGTTGCCACAACTGGTTCAGCATGGCAGAAGGTTGCCACAACTGGTAGAGCATGGCAGGAGTTGGACAAGCCTGATTTTGATGGCACATGATCTGAGGCTTATCAAGTTTGAAGGATGTTGGTCAAGTCAATTGCTATTTCTTCATGCAACAAGAAGTTTGAGATACATTGTGTTAACGTCCTTTCTTTGGCCATTGTGGCAGTGTTGGCCAGGGGGAGAGGCCACTGTGGCAGTGTTGGCCAGGGGGAGAGGCCACTGTGGCAGTGTTGGCCAGGGGGAGAGGCCACTGTGGTAGTGTTGGCCAGGGGGAGAGGCCACTGTGGCAGTGTTGGCCAGGGGGAAGAGGCCACTGTGGCAGTGTTGGCCAGGGGGAGAGGCCACTGTGGCAGTGTTGGCCAGGGGGAGAGGCCACTGTGGCAGTGTTGGCCAGGGGGAGAGGCCACTGTGGCAGTGTTGGCCAGGGGGAGAGGCCACTGTGGCAGTGTTGGCCAGGGGGAGAGGCCACTGTGGCAGTGTTGGCCAGGGGGAGAGGCCACTGTGGCAGTGTTGGCCAGGGGGAAGAGGCCACTGTGGCAGTGTTGGCCAGGGGGAGAGGCCACTGTGGCAGTGTTGGCCAGGGGGAGAGGCCACTTTGGCAGTGTTGGCCAGGGGGAAGAGGCCACTGTGGCAGTGTTGGCCAGGGGGAGAGGCCACTGTGGCAGTGTTGGCCAGGGGGAGAGGCCACTGTGGCAGTGTTGGCCAGGGGGAGAGGCCACTGTGGCAGTGTTGGCCAGGGGGAGAGGCCACTGTGGCAGTGTTGGCCTGGGGGAGAGGCCACTGTGGCAGTGTTGGCCAGGGGGAGAGGCCACTGTGGCAGTGTTGGCCATTGGGAGAGGCCACTGTGGCAGTGTTGGCCATTGGGAGAGGCCACTGTGGCAGTGTTGGCCAGGGGGAGAGGCCACTGTGGCAGTGTTGGCCAGGGGGAGAGGCCACTGTGGCAGTGTTGGCCAGGGGGGAGAGGCCACTGTGGCAGTGTTGGCCAGGGGGGAGAGGCCACTGTGGCAGTGTTGGCCAGGGGGAGAGGCCACTGTGGCAGTGTTGGCCAGGGGGGAGAGGCCACTGTGGCAGTGTTGGCCAGGGGGGAGAGGCCACTGTGGCAGTGTTGGCCAGGGGGGAGAGGCCACTGTGGCTGTGTTGGCCAGGGGGAGAGGCCACTGTGGCAGTGTTGGCCAGGGGAAGAGGCCACTGTGGCAGTGTTGGCCAGAGGGAGAGGCCACTGTGGCAGTGTTGGCCAGAGGGAGAGGCCACTGTGGCAGTGTTGGCCAGGGGGAGAGGCCACTGTGGCAGTGTTGGCCAGGGGGAGAGGCCACTGTGGCAGTGTTGGCCAGGGGGAGAGGCCACTGTGGCAGTGTTGGCCAGGGGGAGAGGCCACTGTGGCAGTGTTGGCCAGAGGGAGAGGCCACTGTGGCAGTGTTGGCCAGGGGGAGAGGCCACTGTGGCAGTGTTGGCCAGGGGGAGAGGCCACTGTGGCAGTGTTGGCCAGGGGGGGAGGCCACTGTGGCAGTGTTGGCCAGACGGAGAGGCCACTATGGCAGTGTTGGCCAGGGTGAAGGCCACTGGGGCAGTGTTGGCCAGGGGGGAGAGGCCACTGTGGCAGTGTTGGCCAGGGGGAGAGGCCACTGTGGCAGTGTTGGCCAGGGGGGAGAGGCCACTGTGGCAGTGTTGGCCAGGGGGGAGAGGCCACTGTGGCAGTGTTGGCCAGGGGGAGAGGCCACTGTGGCAGTGTTGGCCAGGGGGGAGAGGCCACTGTGGCAGTGTTGGCCAGGGGGGAGAGGCCACTGTGGCAGTGTTGGCCAGGGGGAGAGGCCACTGTGGCAGTGTTGGCCAGGGGGAGAGGCCACTGTGGCAGTGTTGGCCAGGGGGAGAGGCCACTGGCAGTGTTGGCCAGGGGGAGAGGCCACTGTGGCAGTGTTGGCCAGGGGGAGAGGCCACTGTGGCAGTGTTGGCCAGAGGGAGAGGCCACTGTGGCAGTGTTGGCCAGGGGGGAGAGGCCACTGTGGCAGTGTTGGCCAGAGGGAGAGGCCACTGTGGCAGTGTTGGCCAGGGGGAGAGGCCACTGTGGCAGTGTTGGCCAGGGGGAGAGGCCACTGTGGCAGTGTTGGCCAGGGGGGAGAGGCCACTGTGGCAGTGTTGGCCAGGGGGAGAGGCCACTGTGGCAGTGTTCGCCAGAGGGAGAGGCCACTGTGGCAGTGTTGGCCAGGGTGAGAGGCCACAGTGGCAGTGTTGGCCAGGGTGAGAGGCCACTGTGGCAGTGTTGGCCAGGGGGAGAGGCCACTGTGGCAGTGTTGGCCAGGGTGAGAGGCCACTGTGGCTGTGTTGGCCAGGGGGAGAGGCTACTGTGGCTGTGTTGGCCAGGGGGGAGAGGCCACTGTGGCAGTGTTGGCCAGGGGGAGAGGCGACTGTGGCAGTGTTGGCCAGGGTGAAGGCCACTGTGGCAGTGTTGGCCAGGGGGAGAGGCCACTGTGGCAGTGTTGGCCAGGGGGAGAGGCCACTGTGGCAGTGTTGGCCAGGGTGAAGGCCACTGTGGCAGTGTTGGCCAGAGGGAGAGGCCACTGTGGCAGTGTTGGCCAGAGGGAGAGGCCACTGTGGCGGTGTTGGCCAGGGTGAGAGGCCACTGTGGCAATGTTGGCCAGGGGGAGAGGCCACTGTGGCAGTGTTGGCCAGGGGGAGAGGCCACTGTGGCAGTGTTGGCCAGGGGGAGAGGCCACTGTGGCAGTGTTGGCCAGAGGGAGAGGCCACTGTGGCAGTGTTGGGGGGGGATGTAATGTATAAGAGAAACGAAGGGAAATAAATGAATAATGACATAATGGGTGAGGAAGGTAGAGAGGCGGGAGTAGCGAGGAGGAGTGTGGTAAGGTGAAAGGGAATGTTTGAAAAAGAGTCTCAATTTTAGTCTCTGTCTCAATGACTTTGAATTGTAATTTGTTCTCTGGCTGTCTCTCAATTTCTGTTGAACCAATCATATGTTTTGGTTCTGCATCTCTGTTTAGGTATGATTTTTGTGTGTTTGTCTTCCTCATATATCTCACAAAACTTGGCGTATATCTCATTAACTTCCTTGCCTAACAGTTTTTTTTTTTAGTTTAGTTCATTTATTATGCCCCCCATACCCATGTTGTGGGCGGTAGAGGAAGGGGTTACAGAGGCACATAATGGGCTCAGGGACTGAACCCCACAATTCATTTAGCTAAGCAAGTTACAATCTTGATGAGCTAGTTACAAGCTAGTTAGCGAGGCAGCTAGTACAAGTCGTCACATCAACAATGGGTTCGAGATCGACCACAAGTACAGTTTCTAAGTTAAGCAACTGACATATGTGGAGAGCCTAGTGTCACAATTGATATGTTTGTCCTGCACACCGCCCCCCATCCAGTGGGCAGCGGTGGATAGGTTACACCGCCCCCCCCCCATCCAGTGGGCAGCGGTGGATAGGTTACACCCCCCCCATCCAGTGGGCAGCGGTGGATAGGTTACACCGCCCCCCATCCAGTGGGCAGCGGTGGATAGGTTACACCCCCCCCCCCATCCAGTGGGCAGCGGTGGATAGGTTACACCGCCCCCCATTCAGTGGGCAGCGGTGGATAGGTTACACCGCCCCCCATCCAGTGGGCAGCGGTGGAAAGGTTACACCGCCCCCCATCCAGTGGGCAGCGGTGGATAGGTTACACCGCCCCCCATCCAGTGGGCAGCGGTGGATAGGTTACACCGCCCCCCATTCAGTGGGCAGCGGTGGATAGGTTACACCGCCCCCCATCCAGTGGGCAGCGGTGGATAGGTTACACCGCCCCCCATCCAGTGGGCAGCGGTGGATAGGTTACACCGCCCCCCATCCAGTGGGCAGCGGTGGATAGGTTACACCGCCCCCCATCCAGTGGGCAGCGGTGGATAGGTTACACCCCCCCCCATCCAGTGGGCACCGGTGGATAGGTTACACCACCCCCCATCCAGTGGGCAGCGGTGGATAGGTTACACACCCCCCCCCCCATCCAATGGGCAGCGGTGGATAGGTTACACCCCCCCCCCCATCCAGTGGGCAGCGGTGGATAGGTTACACCCCCCCCCCCATCCAGTGGGCAGCGGTGGATAGGTTACAATCACTCAGTTACTACCTACAGTTAGCAAACTGGGGATATTTGGCTAAAATTTCTGGTAGCAGATCATTTTGAATGAAATATTGACACATCGTTGGAACATTGGTAATAGAATTGTCTCTAAATTCACGCAAGTCTTTCTAATTAAACTCACTCACGAACTTCCTAAAGTCCCATATAGTGTCCTCTCTTGAAATCAAGTTTTTCCAATGCTTAATTTGTCTTGGTTGTGAGAGAGTTGTCCCCCGAGTGTGTCGCCCTCCTTGCCTTGATCATTGTTATTTAGCATTGTTGATACTCCATAAACTGCATCAATATAGCTTCCTGACCCTTCTGTAGTACATTTATTATATGCTCAGTATCTTTGCCTTTATTCTCTTCATTTCTCTCATCCTTATCCTTTATAGCAGTGTTGGGTTCATTGGTCAGGGTCTTGCAATAGTTATTGTAGTTTAATTAAGCAGTGGAAATGGGAAAGGTGTTAACCTTCAGATTAATTGCTCATTCTTGAACGCTTCCATCAATTTATCCCAAGATTTTTTGATTGCTTTGTAATTTCTTATGGCACAACTCGCATTCAGTTGACTGCTGCCCAAGAGCAATTTCTTCTTATATCCCATAATCATCATACCCGTTCATCATAACTGCTACTAACTTGTAGAATATTAAAGTGGCTCGTTAGAGGGGCAGCTAGCAGCCTCCCCCACCACAGACGCATTCGTTAATTTTAAACCTAAGTGTATTAAAAATTGGCCTGGTCCCATATGTAAGTTAATATTATTACAGTATATATATCATCTATGTAAAGTTAGGTTAGCTGGTAAGGTTCTATTGGCGATTATTTATATTTGTAGTACGTGGGTGAAGCATTTAGTGTTGTGGTTCGAACACAAGTCGTCAGTGAAGCACTTGTTCCGGAAGTGTTCGGACGTCAGTAGTCGAGTCGTGCGTAAACAGTTTTTCATTCATAAATAGCTGGGGGTTGGCGGGTGCATGGAATGGACTTTGACCTTCGTTTATGAGGACAGGCTGCATGAACAGTTACAGATGTTTTGTGGCTGGATTAACGAGCATTTGACCTTACGAGTATATACGCTGTATTACGTGAACACCTGAGTCGAGGACTTCGAGCCGTTGAACTCGGGTCTCATTCCAGCTACTGAGACACTTTCCAAGAAGATGAGTTCCAGACACGACGACCAGAACAGCGAGACCGCAGTAGGTGAGAGGGCGGCCCTTCTCCTCGCTGGGAGCTGGCCTACTGTGCACACCAGGCGGTAAGCTGTACCAGTGTGTTTACGGTGTTTTTAAAGTTCCGTGGGGTAATTAACACACATTACAATTCGAACACTTAAAAAGATAGGACACCATTCAAAGAGAATGGTGTTTATGATTACTGAATACAGTCTTGGTTACAGCAGTCGGATGTTAGAAATGGTGTGACATGTGGTTAATTGGTGATAAGTTGAGAAGACAATGATTATTATTTATAATTAATTACGTCGTGCTGGAGGCGGGAAGTTTGAGCAGGGCCTGGGGGGGGGGTGTAGAGAGCATGAGCGGGGCCTGGGGGGGGGGGTGTAGAGAGCATGAGCGGGGCCTGGGGGGTATAGAGAGCATGAGCGGGGCCTGGGGGGGTGTAGAGAGCATGAGCGGGGCCTGGGGGTGTAGTGAGCATGAGCGGGGCCTGGGGGGGTGTAGAGAGCATGAGCGGGGCCTGGGGGGGGGGGGGTGTAGAGAGCATGAGCGGGGCCTGGGGGGTGTAGAGAGCATGAGCGGGGCCTGGGGGGGTGTAGAGAGCATGAGCGGGGCCTGGGGGGGTGTAGAGAGCATGAGCGGGGCCTGGGGGTGTAGTGAGCATGAGCGGGGCCTGGGGGGGTGTAGAGAGCATGAGCGGGGCCTGGGGGGGTGTAGAGAGCATGAGCGGGGCCTGGGGGGGTGTAGAGAGCATGAGCGGGGCCTGGGGGGGTGTAGAGAGCATGAGCGGGGCCTGGGGGTGTAGTGAGCATGAGCGGGGCCTGGGGGGGTGAAGAGAGCATGAGCGGGGCCTGGGGGGGTGTAGAGAGCATGAGCGGGGCCTGGGGGTGTGTAGAGAGCATGAGCGGGGCCTGGGGTGTGTAGAGAGCATGAGCGGGGCCTGGGGGGGTGTAGAGAGCATGAGCGGGGAATGGGGGGGTGTAGAGAGCATGAGCGGGGCCTGGGGGGGTGTAGAGAGCATGAGCGGGGCCTGGGGGGTGTAGAGAGCATGAGCGGGGAATGGGGGAGTGTAGAGAGCATGAGCGGGGCCTGGGGGGGTGTAGAGAGCATGAGCGGGGCCTGGGGGGTGTAGAGAGCATGAGCGGGGCCTGGGGGGGGTGTAGTGAGCTTGAGCGGGGCCTGGGGGGGTGTAGAGAGCATGAGCGGGGCCTGGGGGGTGTAGAGAGCATGAGCGGGGCCTGGGGGTGTAGTGAGCTTGAGCGGGGCCTGGGGGGTGTAGAGAGCATGAGCGGGGCCTGGGGGGTGTAGAGAGCATGAGCGGGGCCTGGGGGGTGTAGAGAGCATGAGCGGGGCCTGGGGGGTGTAGAGAGCATGAGCGGGGCCTGGGGGGTGTAGAGAGCATGAGCGGGGCCTGGGGGTGTAGTGAGCTTGAGCGGGGCCTGGGGGGGGGAGGGGTGTAGAGAGCATGAGCGGGGCCTGGGGGTGTAGTGAGCATGAGCGGGGCCTGGGGGGGGTGTAGAGAGCATGAGCGGGGCCTGGGGGTGTAGTGAGCATGAGCGGGGCCTGGGGGGGTGTAGTGAGCATGAGCGGGGCCTGGGGGGGGTGTAGAGAGCATGAGCGGGGCCTGGGGGGTGTAGAGAGCATGAGCGGGGCCTGGGGGGTGTAGAGAGCATGAACGGGGGCCTGGGGGTGTAGTGAGCATGAGCGGGGCCTGGGGGGGTGTAGAGAGCATGAGCGGGGCCTGGGGGGGGTGTAGAGAGCATGAGCGGGGGCCTGGGGGTGTAGTGAGCATGAGCGGGGCCTGGGGGGGTGTAGAGAGCATGAGCGGGGCCTGGGGGGGGGGTGTAGAGAGCATGAGCGGGGCCTGGGGGGGGGGGGGTGTAGAGAGCATGAGCGGGGCCTGGGGGGGTGTAGAGAGCATGAGCGGGGCCTGGGGAGGGTGGTGTAAAGAGCATGAGCGGGGCCTGGGGGGGTGTAGAGAGCATAAGCGGGGCCTGGGGGTGTAGAGAGCATAAGCGGGGCCTGGGGGGTGTAGAGAGCATGAGCGGAGCCTGGGGGGGTGTAGAGAGCATGAGCGGGGCCTGGGGGGTGTAGAGAGCATAAGCGGGGCCTGGGGGGGTGTAGAGAGCATAAGCGGGGCCTGGGGGGGTGTAGAGAGCATGAGCGGGGCCTGGGGGGTGTAGAGAGCATAAGCGGGACCTGGGGGGTGTAGAGAGCATAAGCGGGACCTGGGGGGGTGTAGAGAGCATAAGCGGGGCCTGGGGGGTGTAGAGAGCATAAGCGGGGCCTGGGGGGGGGTGTGGAGAGCGTAAGCGGGGCCTGGGGGGGTGTAGAGAGCATAAGCGGGGCCTGGGGGGTGTAGAGAGCATGAGCGGGGCCTGGGGGGGTGTAGAGAACATGAGCGGGGCCTGGGGGGTGTAGAGAGCATAAGCGGGGCCTGGGGGGTGTAGAGAGCATAAGCGGGGCCTGGGGGGGTGTGGAGAGCATAAGCGGGGCCTGGGGGGGGTGTGGAGAGCGTAAGCGGGGCCTGGGGGGGTGTAGAGAGCATAAGCGGGACCTGGAGGGGTGTAGAGAGCATAAGCGGGGCCTGGGGGGTGTAGAGAGCATAAGCGGGGCCTGGGGGGTGTAGAGAGCGTGAGCGGGGCCTGGGGGGGGGTGTAGAGAGCATGAGCGGGGCCTGGGGGTAGTGTAGAGAGCATAAGCGGGGCCTGGGGGGGGGGGTGTAGAGAGCGTGAGCGGGGCCTGGGGGGGTGTAGAGAGCATGAGCGGGGCCTGGGGGGGTGTAGAGAGCATGAGCGGGGCCTGGGGGGGTGTAGAGAGCATGAGCGGGGCCTGGGGGGTGTAGAGAGCATAAGCGGGGCCTGGGGGGGTGTAGAGAGCATAAGCGGGGCCTGGGGGGGTGTAGAGAGCATGAGCGGGACCTGGGGGGTGTAGAGAGCATAAGCGGGGCCTGGGGGGGTGTAGAGAGCATGAGCGGGGCCTGGGGAGGGTGGTGTAAAGATCATGAGCGGGGCCTGGGGGGTGTAGAGAGCATAAGCGGGGCCTGGGGGGTGTAGAGAGCATGAGCGGGGCCTGGGGGGGTGTAGAGAGCATGAGCGGGGCCTGGGGGGGGTGTAGAGAGCATGAGCGGGGCCTGGGGGGGTGTAGAGAGCATGAGCGGGGCCTGGGGGGTGTAGAGAGCATAAGCGGGGCCTGGGGGGGTGTAGAGAGCATAAGCGGGACCTGGGGGTAGTGTAGAGAGCATAAGCGGGGCCTGGGGGGGGGGGTGTAGAGAGCGTGAGCGGGGCCTGGGGGGGTGTAGAGAGCATGAGCGGGGCCTGGGGGGGTGTAGAGAGCATGAGCGGGGCCTGGGGGGGTGTAGAGAGCATGAGCGGGGCCTGGGGGGTGTAGAGAGCATGAGCGGGGCCTGGGGGGGTGTGGAGAGCGTAAGCGGGGCCTGGGGGGGTGTAGAGAGCGTAAGCGGGGCCTGGGGGGGGGTGTAGAGAGCATGAGCGGGGCCTGGGGGGGGGGTGTAGAGAGCGTAAGCGGGGCCTGGGGGGGGGGTGTAGAGAGCATGAGCGGGGCCTGGGGGGTGTAGAGAGCGTGAGCGGGGCCTGGGGGGGTGTAGAGAGCGTAAGCGGGGCCTGGGGGGGTGTAGAGAGCGTAAGCGGGGCCTGGGGGGGTGTAGAGAGCGTGAGCGGGGCCTGGGGGGGGGGGGGGGTGGTAGAGAGCATGAGCGGGGCCTTGGGGGGGGATGTAGAGAGCATGAGCGGGGCCTGGGGGGGGGGTGTAGAGAGCATGAGCGGGGCCTGGGGGGGGGGGGGGGGTGTAGAGAGCATGAGCGGGGCCTGGGGGGGGGGGTGTAGAGAGCATGAGCGGGGCCTGGGGGGTGGGTGTAGAGAGCATGAGCGGGGCCTGGGGGGGGGGCAGAGAGCATGAGCGGGGCCTGGGGGGTGGGCAGAGAGCATGAGCGGGGCCTGGGGGGGGGGGCAGAGAGCATGAGCGGGGCCTGGGGGGGGGGGTTAGAGAGCATGAGCGGGGCCTGGGGGGGTGTAGAGAGCATGAGCGGGGCCTGGGGGGGGCAGAGAGCATGAGCTGGGCCTGGGGGGGGGCAGAGAGCATGAGCGGGGCCTGGGGGGGGGGCAGAGAGCATGAGCGGGGCCTGGGGGGGGCAGAGAGCATGAGCGGGGCCTGGGGGGGCAGAGAGCATGAGCGGGGCCTGGGGGGGCAGAGAGCATGAGCGGGGCCTGGGGGGGCAGAGAGCATGAGCGGGGCCTGGGGGGGTGTAGAGAGCATGAGCGGGGCCTGGGGGGTGTAGAGAGCATGAGCGGGGCCTGGGGGGGATGTAGAGAGCATGAGCGGGGCCTGGGGGGGGGTTAGAGAGCATGAGCGGGGCCTGGGGGGGGGTTAGAGAGCATGAGCGGGGCCTGGGGGGGGGTGTAGAGAGCATGAGCGGGGCCTGGGGGGTGTAGAGAGCATGAGCGGGGCCTGGGGGGTGTAGAGAGCATGAGCGGGGCCTGGGGGGGTGTGGAGAGCGTAAGCGGGGCCTGGGGGGGTGTAGAGAGCGTAAGCGGGGCCTGGGGGGGGGTGTAGAGAGCATGAGCGGGGCCTGGGGGGGGGTGTAGAGAGCGTAAGCGGGGCCTGGGGGGGGGGGTGTAGAGAGCATGAGCGGGGCCTGGGGGGTGTAGAGAGCGTGAGCGGGGCCTGGGGGGGTGTAGAGAGCGTAAGCGGGGCCTGGGGGGGTGTAGAGAGCGTAAGCGGGGCCTGGGGGGGTGTAGAGAGCGTGAGCGGGGCCTGGGGGGGGCAGAGAGCGTGAGCGGGGCCTGGGGGAGGTGTAGAGAGCGTGAGCGGGACCTGGGGGGGGGGGTGTAGAGAGCGTGAGCGGGGCCTGGGGGGGGGTGTAGAGAGCGTAAGCGGGGCCGGGGGGGGGGGGGGTGTAGAGAGCGTGAGCGGGGCCTGGGGGGGTGTAGAGAGCGTGAGCGGGACCTGGGGGGGGGCGTAGAGAGCGTGAGCGGGGCCTGGGGGGGGTGTAGAGAGCGTGAGCGGGGCCTGGGGGGGGGGTTGTAGAGAGCGTGAGCGGGACCTGGGGGGGTGTAGAGAGCGTGAGCGGGGCCTGGGGGGGTGTAGAGAGCGTGAGCGGGGCCTGGGGGGGTGTAGAGAGCGTGAGCGGGGCCTGGGGGGGTGTAGAGAGCGTGAGCGGGGCCTGGGGGGGTTGTAGAGAGCGTGAGCGGGGCCTGGGGGGGGTGTGTAGAGAGCGTGAGCGGGGCCTGAGGGGGGGTGTAGAGAGCGTGAGCGGGGCCTGGGGGGTGTGTAGAGAGCATGAGCGGGCCCTGGGGGGGTGTAGAGAGCGTGAGCGGGGCCTGGGGGGGTGTAGAGAGCATGAGCGGGGCCTGGGGGGGTGTGTAGAGAGCATGAGCGGGCCCTGGGGGGGTGTAGAGAGCGTGAGCGGGGCCTGGGGGGGTGTAGAGAGCATGAGCGGGGCCTGGGGGGGGGGTGTAGAGAGCATGAGCTTTTGAGCATGCAAACCATGCTCTGAAACTCTCCCTGGACAGATGTAATATGACCCATTATCACTACACCAGAAATAAATATCTCTTTGATATCCCCAGGGTCAAACTTAATCTGTGTAAACACTCTATGCAAATTAAGGGACCTAGTCTATGGAACTCACTCCCTAGTGAATTGAAAATCTGTAAAACTTTTGCCTTATTTAAAAGCAAAACCAAAAAGTACCTAATTTCATCTTCTTAGTTTCCTACACTGAGCTTTAAATTTGCTCTGTACCTAGTGTCACCCAATCTCCTAATTTTTATGTAGTATCAAACAACCTTATCATTGTGTTCATTGCTGTCTTCTTTTATGTGCTAGCCATATGCTGTATTGTGACCACCAATTTTTGTCAACTACCATTCAAGCTGTCACTGCAATCAATCATAGCTACCTATGTGCTTTAATTTACTGTACCTACAATTTTCTCTCATCTTCTTTTTTTCATTCCATGTAATCTGTTATCATTTTTTTGTCTATAAATTTTGCAAGTATTTACCTCCTTAAAATTTTCTTAGATTAAGGACCTGCCCGAAACGCTGCGCGTGCTAGTGGCTTTACAAGACTGTAATTACCATATTATGTATCCTCACATTCCTTATGTACATTCTTGTATATGCATAAATAAATAAATGAGCGGGGCCTGGGGGGGGGGTGGTAGAGAGCATGAGCGGGGCCTTGGGGGGGGATGTAGAGAGCATGAGCGGGGCCTGGGGGGGGGGGGTGTAGAGAGCATGAGCGGGGCCTGGGGGGGGGGGTGTAGAGAGCATGAGCGGGGCCTGGGGGGGGGTGTAGAGAGCATGAGCGGGGCCTGGGGGGTGGGTGTAGAGAGCATGAGCGGGGCCTGGGGGGGGGCAGAGAGCATGAGCGGGGCCTGGGGGGTGGGCAGAGAGCATGAGCGGGGCCTGGGGGGGGGCAGAGAGCATGAGCGGGGCCTGGGGGGGGGGGTTAGAGAGCATGAGCGGGGCCTGGGGGGGTTGTAGAGAGCATGAGCGGGGCCTGGGGGGGGCAGAGAGCATGAGCGGGGCCTGGGGGGGGGGCAGAGAGCATGAGCGGGGCCTGGGGGGGGGGGGCAGAGAGCATGAGCGGGGCCTGGGGGGGGGCAGAGAGCATGAGCGGGGCCTGGGGGGGCAGAGAGCATGAGCGGGGCCTGGGGGGGCAGAGAGCATGAGCGGGGCCTGGGGGGGCAGAGAGCATGAGCGGGGCCTGGGGGGGTGTAGAGAGCATGAGCGGGGCCTGGGGGGGTGTAGAGAGCATGAGCGGGGCCTGGGGGGGATGTAGAGAGCATGAGCGGGGCCTGGGGGGGGGTTAGAGAGCATGAGCGGGGCCTGGGGGGGGGTTAGAGAGCATGAGCGGGGCCTGGGGGGGGTGTAGATAGCATGAGCGGGGCCTGGGGGGGGGGGTGTAGAGAGCATGAGCGGGGCCTGGGGGGGGGGTTAGAGAGCATGAGCGGGGCCTGGGGGGGGGGTAGAGAGCATGAGCGGGGCCTGGGGGGGGGGGTTAGAGAGCATGAGCGGGGCCCGGGATCTGAACCCAATATTCCGGATTGCAAGTCGAGAGGGAATCCGCCTGTACTACCAGGACCCCAAATATTGAGACCTCGAATACTATTATATTTAAATAAGGAATGAAAACAAAAGTTGTATAAAATTGTAGCATTTTTATTTATATAATATGTAAAAATAAATATCTAAATTATATATAGTAGATAAAATGTTGAATATCCGGCTGAGGCTCCCTGACTGAGGGGGCGCGGGGCCTTCCATTTTGAGGTGGCCTACTTGGTGCTTCCCAGTACCTTGTTAGAAGTCTATCTGGTTCTTTACATCTGTTTTACTTGTAAGTCCATCATATACATGTACTATGTATGTATACTCGCACATGTATATACCTAGCACACATAACACAAACACTTAAAGACCAGTTTGAAATGGCGGGCTTATATTAGTCATCTGTCCTGTGGCTATCATGAGCTGTGTACAGTACTGAGCTTCCCATATACGCCTGACGGTGTATATGGTATACTAGAGGGCCCACTATGGGGCACGGTATACCAGAGGGCCCACTATGGGGTACGGTATACCAGAGGGCCCACTCTGGGGCACGGTATACCAGAGGGCCCACTCTGGGGTACGGTATACCAGAGGGCCCACTCTGGGGCACGGTATACCAGAGGGCCCACTATGGGGTACGGTATACCAGAGGGCCCACTATGGGGTACGGTATACCAGAGGGCCCACTTTGGGGCACGGTATACCAGAGGGCCCACTCTGGGGCACGGTATACCAGAGAGCCCACTCTGGGGTACGGTATACCAGAGGGCCCACTCTGGGGTTCAGTAGGCTAGGGGGGGCCCTATACTGGGATACAGTAGGCTAGGGGGGACCCTACACTGGGATTCAGTAGGCTAGGGGGGGGGGGGACCTACACTGTGATACAGTATAGGCTAGAGCCGCCCCACTGTAGGATACAGTATAGGCTAGAGCAGCCCCACTGTAGGATACAGTATAGGCTAGAGCAGCCCCACTGTAGGATACAGTATAGGCTAGAGCAGCCCCACTGTAGGATACAGTATATGCTAGAGCAGCCCCACTGTAGGATACAGTAGGCCAGGGGGCCGTGGTTCACCTGGCGGCCACTAGAGAGCGGCCGCAGCACAGGTGTGGTAGGGATGAGGAGAAGGGACGATGCTGGCCACGTCCAGTCCCTGCGAGGCGAAGACCTTCTTGCAGCGTCTGCGGGCGGTGGCTGCGTCTCTCAGGTCCCTGGCGTACACATACACCCCCTCCACCTTGTGTGTGGGTGTAGCCTGCTGACACTGGTACACGCAGGCCGTGCTGGTGTAGTCTGTGTCCAACACACTCACTGACCCGACCGGCAGCCCCTGTGTACAGTGATATCGTAAGAGGACCCAAACCCCTCGCGCCAGAAGATGGAAAAACGAAGACCTTTCGGTCCGTCCTGGACCATTAGCAAGTAGTATATGTAACATTTCTATTTCATTAAATATGTAAGAGTAAAGGAGAACTACAGAAGGCTTATTGGGCCATATGTGGCAGATAAATACTCATGAACAAGTGTGAAGTGATAGGATGTAGAGGAGGGAGGTGGAGGTGTAGTAACTCACGAAGTATGAGATGGAGAAGGTTGCTGGGTCGTGTTGTGGGTGTAGGAGGGTGGTGACGCTAGACGCCTTCTCCCGCCCGTCCACGCCCGCGGTCACTCGCCTCACACTCTCTGCAACACCACCATTACTTCACTCTCATCCTCCTACTTGTTTAATAGTGCAGTGGCAGGCACAGACGGAATTATCAGGGGTAAAGCGCCAAGCCGTTGCGGCTATATAGCACTGGGAAGGGGTCAGGATAAGGATTTGGGATGGGACGGGGGGAAGGAATGGTGCCCAACCACTTGGACGGTCGGGGATTGAACGCCGACCTGCATGAAGCGAGACCGTCGCTCTACCGACCAGCCCAAGTGGCTGAGTCGGGAGAGGAAGCATGTATAATTAGGCTTATCAAGGTCCCCCTTGGCCAATTACTAATCCCAATGCAATCCTACAACAGTTGACTAATTCCCGGGTACCTATTTATGCAAGGTGAACAGAGTACTAAGGTACAAGCCACAAAAGTTGCTTAAGCATTTATAGCATATGGTCAAACGTACAAAAATGGACTGTTGGTCCCAAAATATTTAGGTTGTGTGTTATTGACAATAATTAGTCCAAATAATACACTAGAAAATTTAAATGTAACTATTGAATATAAGCTCTGCAAGACATCTTAGGCCTAATATAGTATTAATATTACATATAACATATAGTGAAAGGAAAGGGCACAATAGTCTGTCCTGCCCGGGATTTGAACCCGGGATCCTAGATTATGAACCAAGGACGTAGCCTACTGCGCTACAGGACCATGGAAAAAATCAATAACAGGAAATATTCCTCCCCAAGTTCCAGCCATGAAGAGTGTCTGCCCCCGACAGGGCCAGGCGAGACATACTTACCGTCTGTGACTGTGAAATGGACAGTGGCACACTGACGGGCCGTACGGAACAGGTTTGGCTTGGACGCCGCCTCCACCCACCGTCCTGAAAACTGAGGGAATGTCCAATATTATACCACCCATCATAAGAATATAGAAACACGCAAAGGCCCATAAATGGCAGTTCCTATTGACATTCTACTAACTCATTCGTGCATGTGTCTAACCTACGCTTGAAACAATCAATAGCTCCCACGGTTCGATAAATCAACACTCCTCTTACCGAACCAGTATTTACCCAGATGTTTCCTAAATCTAAACTTATCCAATTTATATCCATCGTTTTGTGTTGATATATTTAAAATCTTGCTTGTATCCTCTTAAATGTTGTACGCTTTCATCCACTTATACTTCTTCATCCACTTGTACTTCTTCATCCACTTGTACTTCTTCATCCACTTATACTTCAGTCGTATCATCCATTACTCTTCACCTTTCTAAGTAATGTTGAGCTTTTTAAATCTCTTCGTAAAGAAGGTTTGTAATTCCTGGGATTAACTTCCTTATAAGTAAATTTATGTTCATTGTAAAGTATGATGACCAAACTGAGCTGCATAATCTAGATGGGGCCTAACCAGAGTAAGATATAGTTGAAGAACAACACTAAGCTGTTGTAACGCCAACACTTCTAGAAATAAATCGGTGTCCTATTTGTCTTATTTCGTACATTTAAACACTGATTTGTTGACTTTAGATCTGTACTAATGATGACTGTACAGATCTTTGTCATATCCACTGTTGTTGTTATAGATTCAGCTACTCGGAGCAAGTTCCAAGTAGCACGGGCTATGGTGAGCCCGTAGTGGACTTACCTGGCACATGAGCGGTGCTCGTCATATCTAGACTTGCGCACCTTAAATACCTTACGTAATGAGGTGGAACTGCAGGACGGCCATTACCCATACGACACGGCTCCTATGCGCCCAAACATTCAAATATACCTGAGTTACCCGAGAACCACTAACCCTAGTGACCTCGACGAGGACACGAAGCCGGCGGCTTGTCAAAGGTTCCCCACCGCTGATATTCATTGTCATATTCAACTTTCACAAAACGCTAAAAGATGTTTGCTTCCAAGATATATATTGCCGACACAATACATATCACTTAAATTTAAATATTGTTGATATAGCTTGTTTTTAATATATTGTTACCTTTTGATAGTTGAGTGAAGGCTGGGTGCGAGGGTTGAGACAAGTGCCGTTGAGTATATGTGAGAACTCTGGCACAGGCGCGGCGCCCGTCCCGCCGGCGCCAGCCACCGCCACCACCACCACCACCACCAGGAACATCTGTAAACACAAGCGACACTTTGTAAAGATTTACAACATTCAAAACTTTAGCCTCGTATAAGGCTGTAATTCGGTAAAATCATGGGACAAGGACTTTAGGGACTTTAACTTTAGAGACTAACAGGGACTTTAAAATCATGGGACAGGGACTTTAGGGGTCCCTGTAGTCGGGTTAGTCCTCGACGCACAATCGAGAATTCTGGGTTCGAATCCTGGGCGGGACAAAAATGTTTGAACACATTTCTTTTCACCTAATGCGTCTATTCACCTATTTTGAGGTTATCGTGAGATGATTTCGAGGCTTAGCAGCCCAGTCCTCGACCAGGTCTCCTTTTTGTTACACACCCCCAGGAAGCAGCCCGTAGCAGCTGCCAGGTACCTATTTACTGCTAGGTGAACAGAAGCATCAGGGTGAAAAACTCTGCCCATTTGTTTACTCCTTAACCGGGGATCAAACCCGGAACCTCAGGACTACGAATCCTGAACGTTGTCCCACTCACCCGCAAGGTCTAAAATGGCATTCAACAAGGAAATTCAATATCCGAAAAAGAAGGCAAAATCACGACTAAATATAATGAGAGCAATCACAGGGCCCCGTCTAGGAGCGGGACACAAAGTGTTAAGAATGTTTTACATACACGCCGTTCGTTCCCTAGTTGATTATGCAGCACCTGCCTTACTCCTCTCTCCTGGTCAGTGGGCAAAATGATGCAATGCGAGTCATAGCAGGAGCTCCCAGATAAACTAAAATATTGAAATTAAGAACAGAAACCAAGTTAAGGTCGATTGAAATAAGGGTAAAAGGGATTGCTGCGTGCATGCTGACCAAGATATTGACTAGACCTAGAATCGGTTCACTTAAAGGTATAATTACTGGCGCACTAACTCTGGACAGAAGAGCCTCCAATAGCAACAGGTGGACCCATTGTGCGATAAACATAAATACATTTGATATAACAAACACAATCACTGAGAAGGGTGTCGACAAAATACGTGCAGACTGTTATGCAAGCCCCTTGGGAATCTTCGCCAGCAGACTTTAAGATTATGGTTCGTGAAGGAAAAAAAGAACCAGACTAATCCTCGTCTGCTATGTAATATTGCACAGATGCATATAGAAGCAAACTTGGCATCCAACAGCTTCACATACTTCACAGATGGATCAGTAGACCAGATGGGACAAGAAACCGGAGCTGCAGTTAAAGCAGGAAACTCTGTAAATAGTTGGAGACTCAAATGGGTGTTGAACTTTACAAACAGTTATGCTAGCCATTCAAAAGGCTTTAGAACATGCTCTTGCTGAACACCGACAAATGTTATCATACATACAGATTCGACAACTTGTCATTGAAACCTTGCAACAAGAACACGTATGTGATAACATCCATCTGATCACAAATGTCATATCATTAATGCAAACACTCTAACAACAAGGCCGTCGGATACTTATCAACTGGGTGCCAAGTCATGTGGGAATATTAGGAAATGACATTGTAGACGAAGCTGCAAAACTTGCAACTAAGAAGAAGAAATGTAGACATTTATATACCACAGAGTCTATCATAGATTAAATAAGTAATTAGAAACGGAACGATGCAAAAGATGTACAGTGACCACAACACAGCAGTTGCAACATCAGGATCTGTGGGTTGGTACAAGACATCAACCAACTACGAATCACTTAGTTTGATGAAAGGGAGCAGTAGAGCAACAGAAGTACACTTACATCGCATCAGGCTTGGATACCCAAGTGAATGGGAAATAGGCTTACAGGTTCCGGAAGATGAGAGGAAATGTCAGCATTGTGGAGAAATGCCCGACAGACCACTGGAACATTATCTAACACAGAGCACAGTTACAAACCCATTAAGATTTCAACATAGATTCAACAGAGCAGAAGTTGTCAAACACATGGGGCAAAATCTTACAGAAGCGACCATACGATTCATAAATACTCATACTCCGCTTGAGTAAAACAGAAAAGCAACATTTAGTGGGGCCAACCAGAGGCTTAAGGACCCGCGCAGGAATATCCGTGAAAAAACTAGCTAGTAAGTATGTACCCAGGTGTTAGTCAATTTGTTGTGGGGGGAGGGGGAGGGGGGATCATGCTTCCTGTTCCCCGACACAATACATGATTATATATGACTGTAGTATATATGTGGGTTGTTGTGTAAGACTTGTACACGTGTCGAGGCAGGAGTTACGAGACATTCAACACCGCGGGACCGGTTTATGACGCAAGGAGCCGCCAATATTCATGTAAACATTTGTTTAATAATTTAAGGGAATACATTAAAAACTTGCATTATTAGATTTGAACAAAGATTAAGGCTTTATATTAGAGATGAATGATTTCTTTAATCATCTGTGAATATATTTTTTAAAAATATACCCAAGGATATATTTATAACAAACACACTTATATAAATTATATAAATATAACAAATCCAGGTACCTAAGGGACATCTCGGGTATATTTTAGAGTGCCCTAGTGGCCTGGACGGGGACATGAAGCCCCAAGGGTCACCGTTGTTAGTGGACTCATCAGGGACAGGAAGCCGATGGCTTGTCAAAGGTTCCTCATCCATGTACCGAGTACATGCATCTCAGAACTGTCGGTACGCTCAGTATTTAGGTGGGGCCTGACAGCTGAGTGGACAGCGCTTCGGATTCGTAGTCCTGGGGTTCTGGGTTCGATGCCCGTTGGAGGCGGAAACAAATGGGCAGAGTTTCTTTCACTCTGATGACCTTATTACCTAATAGTAAATAGATACCTGGGAGTCAGACAGCTGTTACGGGCTGGTTCCTGGGGGTGTGTGGGAAAAAAAATCAGTTGATTGACAGTTGAGAGGCGGACTGAAAGAGCAGAGCTCAACCCCCGCAAGCACAACAAGGTATTCACCTAGTTGTGCTTGTGGGGGTTGAGCTCTGCTCTTTCTAGGTGAATACAACTAGGTGGCTACCCAGGACTTACCATGTTGAACAATGTAAGACTTGGAGAATGTTGGTAAGAAGGGAGCAGGCTGGTGCCGGCTGGCTGAGAGCTGGCGTGCTGGACAAGAGCAGCATCTCCCTTATATATACCCCTGCCTCCGTCCCTCCGTCCCTCCCTTGGAGGCTTCATGGGTCCCTGTGTGCCCCTCCCCCTCCCCCCTCTGATCTATCCTCGTGTGGTAGAGGGGGGTGGGGGGGGAGGGCAGCAGGCTAACGAGTTACAGCCCCGCTCCTGTGCCAGGTAAGTCCACTACGGGCTCACCATATCCCGTGCTACTTGCCCCGCTCCTGTGCCAGGTAAGTCCACTACGGGCTCACCATATCCCGTGCTACTTGCCCCGCTCCTGTGCCAGGTAAGTCCACTACGGGCTCACCATATCCCGTGCTACTTGCCCCGCTCCTGTGCCAGGTAAGTCCACTACGGGCTCACCATAGCCCGTGCTACTTGCCCCGCTCCTGTGCCAGGTAAGTCCACTACGGGCTCACCATAGCCCGTGCTACTTGGAACTTTTAGTTCCCAGTAGCTTAATCTTATACAACAAGGAGGCAGCCGGGTTCCTCCTACAGTGCCCTGCCATCCGCACTCTCTGATGGCTGCCCACCCTAACCCACCCGTGGGACACCCCCATGCAAGTCCATTCCTTCCAGCGGTCGACCCCACAGACGCATTCATAAACTTTTACATGCTGTTCATTCAAAACGGAAATTTTCTCAAATATAAATTAATATTATAATATATTAGCATATTGTGCATATAATAATAATAATAATAATAATAATAATAATTTTATTTAGGTAAGGTACATACATAGAGATTTTACAAAGTTTGTTGGCTTTATAGATAGAGCTAGTACATACAATGCCTAAAGCCACTATTACGCAAAGCATTTCGGGCAGGAAAAATATTAATGACTAAAACTTAATACTAATTGAGTTTAAAGTATAAAATGTGTTGAGAACAAATAAAAAAAAAAGGGGGGGAACGTGGCTGAAAAAGCAGCACAAATACAATTAGGTCAACAAACAGCGTTGTTTAAAAAAACAATAACAGACATGGGTTGACAATATAGAGGTAAGGTAGGTTACAGGGAATTTATTAGGTATAGCTTCGTTTTTATCTTAAACTGGTTGAGAGAGGTACAGTCTTTAACATGGTTGGGAAGGTCATTCCACATTCTGGGTCCCTTGATTTGTAGAGCATTTCTAGTTTGATTAAGTCGTACTCTTGGAATATCAAAACTGTATTTATTTCTGGTGTGGTGCTCATGGGTTCTGTTACAACCTTCTAGGAAGCTTTTGAGGTCAGGATTGACATTACAGTTCAGCATTTTATATATTTATTTATTTTTATTTATTTATTTATGCATATACAAGAATGTACATAAGGAATGTGAGGATACAAATATGGTAATTACAGTCTTGTAAAGCCACTAGCACGCGCAGCGTTTCGGGCAGGTCCTTAATCTAAGAAAATTTTAAGGAGGTAAATACTTGCAAAATTATAGACAAAAAATGATAACAGATTACATGAAATGAAAAAAAGATGAGAGAAAATTGTAGGTACAGTATATTAAAGCACATAGGTAGCTAAGATTGATTGCAATGACAGCTTGAATGGTAGTTGACAAAAAAATTGGTAGTCACAATACAGCATATGGCTAGCACATAAAAGAAGACAGCAATGAACACAATGATAAGGTTGTTTGAAATTACATAAAAATTAGGAGATTGGGTAACACTAGGTACAGAGCAAATTTAAAGCTCAGTGTAGGAAACTAAGAAGATGAAGTTAGGTACTTTTTGGTTTTGCTTTTAAAATTTATTTATTTATATACAAGAAGGTACATTGGGTTAGAGAGAATACATAGCATAGTACAGTATTTACAATCTTGTAAAGCCACTAGTACGTGCAGCGTTTCGGGCAGGTCCTTAATCTAACAGATAATTTTAAGTAGGTAAATTCTAGCAGAATTAATAAAATGATAACAAATACATTGAAAGAAAAAATGAGATGAGAGAGATTAGTAAGTATATTAAAGCACATTGGTATATTAAAGTTCTGATTGATTACATTGACAGCTTGATTGGTAATTTAAACAAGATTAAGAGACACCATACAGCAGATTGGCAGCACATATAAGAAGACAGCAATAATCACAATGGTAAAGATGTTCAGATTGGGTACATAAAGATTGGGAGATTGGGTAGCAATAGATACAGTGCAATTTTAAAGCAAAAGGTAAAAAACTATGAAGATGAAATTAGGTACTTTTTAGTTTTGTTTTTGAATGAGGCAAAAGTTGGACAGCTTTTCAATTAATTAGGGAGTGAGTTCCATAGACTGGGTCCCTTTATTTGCATGGAGTGTTTACACAGATTAAGTTTGACTCTGGGGATATCAAAGAGATATTTATTTCTGGTGTGGTGATAATGGGTCCTATTGCATCTGTCCAGGGAGAGTTTCAGGGCAGGATTTGCATTTAAGAACAGGGTTTTGTAAATGTAGTTGACAAGAGAATTTGTGGAGTGAGATTATGTTTAGCAAGTTTAGGGAGTTAAACAAGGAGGCTGAGTGTTGTCTGAAAGCAGAATTTGTTATTATTCTGATAGCAGATTTTTGCTGGGTGATGATGGACTTGAGGTGGTTTGCAGTGGTTGAACCCCAGGCACAGATACCATAATTAAGATAGGGATAGATTAGTGCATAATATAGAGAGATGAGAGCAGAGTTAGGTACATAATATCTGATTTTGGAGAGTATTCCAACTGTTTTAGAGACCTTCTTAGTTATGTGTTGTATGTGGGTGCTGAAGTTGAGTCTCTTGTCTAGGAATAGGCCGAGAAACTTTCCATCATTTTTATTGCTAATGTTTACATTGTCTATCTGAAGCTGAATTGCATTTGTAGATTTACTTCCAAATAAGATGTAGTAGGTCTTTTCTATGTTAAGTGTTAGTTTGTTGGTTGACATCCATAAGTGGGCTTCTTTTAGTTCATTATTAACAATATTATTTAGTGTATGTATGTATGGGTAGGTTTGATATTGGTCTATAATTGTTTATGTCTGCCGGATTACCTCCTTTATGAACTGGTGTTACTCTTGCTTTTTTTAAGGATATCAGGGAAGGTATGACACTCAAGGGATTTGTTGAACAGCAGAGCTATAGGTGGCGCAAGGGCATAGGAAGCGCTCTTGTATACAATAGAAGGGATTTCACTGATGTTCCCAGCTTTGGTTTTTAGTGAGTGTATGATAGACACAAGATCTGTCTCACTGACTGGTGAGAGGAGAAGAGAGTTTGGATAGCTGCCTGAGAGATATGTGTTGATATGTGTCTGAGTCTGTGGGATTTTACTGGCAAGATTAGCACCAACCGATGAAAAGTTATTAAATTCATTTGCCATTTCTAAATCAGTTGACGGTGTAAGGCCATCCTTAGAGAGTGTTATCTGGTTGTGGGAGTGTTGTTTAGTTCCTAGGATATTAGAGATGGTTTTCCATGAGCTTTTCATGTTGCCTTTTGCTTCATTGAATCTAGTCTCATAATATGAAAGTTTAGCTTTTCTTATGATACTGGTAAGCACTGATGAGTACCTCTTAACTACTTCCTTTGTAACTAGGCCAATCCGAAATTTCTTTTCATATTCATGTTTTTTGTTGATTGATTTAATTATGCCACTTGTGAGCCACGGGTTATTTTTTCTTTTATCAGTTACTTGTTTGGTAAGGAGGGGACAGTGAGTGTTGTAGAGGCTTAGAGTTTTGGAGAGAAAGAGGTTAGTTAATGAGTTTATATCCTGTGTATTATTAAATTCAGATTCCCAGTTAATATTGTGAAGTGCATTAGAAAGATTGCCTAAAGCTGATTCACTGTGTAGCCTGAGTGAGAGTTTCTTGCTTTCTGGTGGTGTTGTGTCCATGTTTGCTATGAGGAAGGTAGGATAGTGGTCAGTTGTTCTATCATAGATTACCCCAGATGTAAGGGAAGCTGTTATATTAGTCCATAAGTGATCCAGGGTAGTGGCAGATGTTTGAGTGACTCGGGTGGGCTTGGTGATTGTGGGGATTAGCATACAGGAGTGCATGCTGTTACGGAAATAGTCAACTTGAGGGTTGTTTTGAAGACCCAGGTCAATATTGATATCACCTCCCAGAATGATGTGATTTTTGTTGAGATTGTTATTTATGATAAGATTCCTTACGTTATCTGAGAATGAAGCTATGTTGGTATTAGGAAATCTATAGATGGCACCGATACTCAGGGAGGATTTAAGGGATTTACTGGAGAGCTTGGCAAGGGTATATTCACAATAGTCGTCTCTCTCACTAATGACACTATTGCAGATGAAGGTATCTTTGTAATATATTGCTGTGCCAACTCCTTTTTTATTAGGCCTGTAGTTATGAATGGCTTTATAACCAGCTAAATTGTAGAGTTGGGTATAGTCTTTACTTAGCCAAGTTTCTGTTAAAATGATGAATGATAACCTAGTAGCTAGTGCTGTGAGTAGTGCATTTATATCATCAAAATGTTTACCAAGTGACCTAACATTTTGGTTGTAAACTGATAAGCAGGTGCTATTTAGGAGTTTGTTTTTTGCAAGATTTGCTGTGCCTGCAATACTGCAATAATGATGCAATAATGATGATCAATGTGCTGATTGGTGTGGGTATGCGACAGAAGATTACGATCAGGATCAATATCAGTAAGCATGTAGATACAATAATGTCACGATACAATAAGATAAGCAATTACAGGAACAGTTAAGTACTAAAACTGCTGTAAATAGAAAGTAATTATAGCAAAACACAACAATAAACGTAGGTACACAAAAAATAGAAACAATTAGAAGTAGAGTAAAGATCCCCGTAGACAGCCAGGAAGGATATTGTAGTTAGGTTAAGACAGAAGAAAAAGTCAGTAGACAGACAAGAATAATATATAGCAAAAAATAAAGAGACAAATAATAATCGTAAAGTAAAAATAATCTTAAAAATAAATTATTTAATATAGCTTAGTTGTGAACCTATAATTAGTATGAACTTAAGAAAACAAAATGAGCTCAATAATTAC